GGAGTACAGGGAGGAGGTGCTTACGGGATGTTCTTACACCTGTTGAAACACCTGGATGCTCTAAAATGGCACAGAAAGCTCGTGTTATACTTAACCAGACCCTTCCTGGCTCAGTTACTTTTCTATTTCTTGGTTGAAACACTATATACTAGGGGATGTTAGCATATCAAAGACAAGAGAAAGGATCTCAACTTTTTGGGTGTGGGAACAAAGAGTAAACAAGAAAGGAATATATTCACACCCGTGGGTGCTAACACATCCCTAAGGAGCCCACATTCCCTAGTCTTTGCCCGCAGTAAGCCAACCGACGGTGAAGGTCGGCACAGGCAGGCCTTGGTTCAAGGCCAGGCTTCCAGGGAGGGGTCTCGGCAGGCCTCCTCCTGGGGTGCTGGCTGCCACGATGCTTTTACCGACTCCCTGCCTGTTCCTCAGAAGGGCTGTCTGCTCTCAGCCGTTCACTGTTAAGAGGTCGGTTCCAGTGCCTCTCTCTTTTCTGACCAGTCTGGCCATTTTCTCTCTTTGGCTCTGTCTCTTCTCCCCCTGCCCTGCAGACTGGGATGAGTGTGTGGACAGCTCAGAGCACGACTGCTCCCCAGCCGCCCGCTGCATCAACCTCGAGGGCTCCTACACCTGCCAGTGCCGCACAGCCAGGGACGCCAACCCCTCCCGGGCAGGCCGGGCCTGTCAGGGTGCGTGTCCCTGCCCAGCTCTGGGACAGGCCCCCTCCCTGGGGACCTGGAGGTGGGACAGGGCCAACATCTCCATCAGGCATCGTGCTGAGGACCCACAATAATGTTACAGGCCCACTGATATGTTTTAATTTCATTTAAAATGAGAGGAAAGAAATTAATATAACGATAGTAAATATATTTAACAATGAATCCAGCCTGGATTCTATTCATCTCTATCCCAGTGCAGTTGTAAAATACAGCTTTTCATAAATGTTCTTGTGGAGGGACACGGGGGTCCATGAAGGCCCACAAAAGTCATGATGTGGCCCTGGGAGGGCAGATCCCTCCTCAGGTGGCCTCGAGTCCAAGAGGGTGTGGAAGCCCAGGTGAGCTGGAGAAGGGCCTGATGGGGGCCTTCTGAGCCCCAGTCCTGTCACATTTCTGCCCCCGAGGTTTTGGGGGAGCCAGTTCTGATCGATGGGTCAGGGCTGCCCAGAGTGCTGAGTCGCAAAGCAGGAGGAGGCCCCATGCAGAGTTAAATGCAGCAATTGATTAGCAATGCCTGCCCTGGATGCAGTGTGGGCATAAGAGGCGCTTGGCCACCTGCCTTGTCCCTGGTGAAGGCTTCTCCAGCTGGAAGGGGCCATGGAGAATTACTCCTTGGGGGAAGTAAGCATTCCGTAGACACTGTGTATCCCACTCTGCTTCCCGGCATCCCCACAGCCTGCCTTCTGTTTTTTTCTTACTCACCTACCATGCAGCAAGCTGACGAGGGCAACTGCCTGGAGTCCCACACTGAGCACACATTTGGGGAAAATTGTCCTGTTTTCCCAAAGCCCTGACAGATTAATCTGAGGCCTGTGAGGACCAAGCCCTACATTCAAGTCCCAGTTCTGCAGTCACCTGGGCAGACTCCCCACTCTCAGGGTCTCAGCCTTCTCACTGATCAAGTGCCGGAGCTCGTGTGCCTCCTGAGAATGGGGAGCTTGCAGGCACGGGCCCCACTGAACCTCATACATGCAGACTCAGAAGCCTGTGTCCCACTGGGGTCCCCCAGGGGATGCAGGAGCAGCCTGCTGGACACTGTTATCCTTCAGGAGGGCTCTGCTCAGGGGCGGGATCTGGTGGGCTCTGCTCAGATGTCCCATCTGACAGTGATGTATCTTGGCAGGCAACATGGTGAGTCCCACAGGAGATGTGCTGTCTGCGGTGACAGGGGCGACAGTCCCAGCTCTCAGAACAGAGACCCCCACCTTGTCACCCAGCCCCGGGCATCCATGGAGCTCTCCAGCAGCAGGCCAGGCCTGGTCCCCAGGGCCTCCGCCCAGGAGAGGGGGCAGTGTCATGGTTGGGCACGACAGGAACAGCACAGGGCAAGGTGTGGAGGAGGAGGCACCCAGCACCATCTCAGGCCTAGGGACTGGCTGGGGGACCACCAGCGGGGTGGCCAGCACCACCTTCTCCCCCAGGGCTCCCAGGCCAACCCATGGCTCCCCTCCAGGGGTCACAGACAGCCTGCTGGCCCTCCCTGGACAGTCACCGAGAAACTCCACCACAGAGACACTCTCTCAGCCTGTCCCTGCTGAGGGCCCCATGGGCCACATTGTGTGGCACGCCAGCCTCCCCACGCAGGAAATGTCTCTGAACCCCATGCGGCTGTGGAATGAGGACCCTGGGCCCTCCCACTCCCCGGACCTGCCAATGACCCCCACCTCCACATCTCTGATGACCCCCGCCTGTGGTGAGTATGTTGAATGGTGTGTGTGGGGGGGACGGGGCCCGGATGGGAACCACACGGCCTGGGCGGGCCTCTAGGGCAAAGACACGCAGCTGTCAGTCAGAGCCTGTTGGAAACGCCCAAGTGGGCTTTCTCTCCTTGTGCACTAGGACAGGTCAATGGTCCTGGTTAGGCAGAGGACTTGGCCCCTCGTGCATGTCCAGCCCTCTCCTCCCACCTTCTAAGCCTCCCTGTTTGCAGCAGCTGGGGCAGAAGTCAGCTTTGGAGAAGACTTCGGGGCCCATGTGTCACATTAGGCATGGAGCAATACCCCCACAGTGTTGGGTACCCCAGCAGTCCTGCACCTCCAGAAGCACTGTGCCCCAGCAGTGTTCTGTCACCCCCACAACAACTCTGCATCCCCAAGCCAAGCTGCATCCTCCCAGCCCTGTTGTACCCCCTGGTCCTGCCATACCCTCAACTGTCCTGCACCCTATTTGTCTTGCACCCCCAGGTGTTCTGCATGCCTCCCAGCATTTCTGTACCCCCAGCAGTTCTGCACCTTCAGCTGTTCTGCACATACCAGCTGTCCTGCACCCCCAGCTGTTCTCCACGCCTCAGCTGTCCTGCACCCCATCTGTCCTGCACCCCCAAGTATTCTGCATCCCTGCAGAAGTTCTGCACCCCCAGCTGTCCTGCACATGCCAGCTGTCCTGCAGTCCCAGCTGTTCTGCACCCCCAGCTGTACTGTGCCTCCAGGTGTTCTGCACACCTAGCTGTTCTACACTC